CCCATCTCCGTGGCTCCTCTGGCCCCGCTCCAGCAGCTCCGTGTCTGTCCTGTGTGCTTGCCCTTGTTGAACTCCAGGAGGTTGGCACGGTCCCGCCTCTCCAGCCTGTCCAGGTCCCTCTGGATGCCATCCCTTCCCTCCAGCGTGTCACCACACCACACATCTTGGTGTCATCGGCAAACTTGCTGAGGGTGCACTCGATCCCACTGTCCATGTCTCCCACAAAGATGTTGAACGGTCCCAATATCAACCCCTGCGGAACGCATTGGAAGGCACGATAATTAAGAGAGACCAGTGGGTTAATTGAAAACAAAGTAACAGTAATTTCTATGCTTTCATCATCCATCTTTTTCTTTTCTTGATACATCTAAATATTGAAAATGGAAATTAAATGTAAGATTTAGGTTTTGGAAAAATATAGAACGAGCTGAAGTTTCACATGCTGCTTGTGTTGGTCACTCAGTCATCTGCTCTGCTTGGAAAAAGAAATATCTCCTGAATTGGATGTTGATGGCTCATGGAGTGGAAATGGAGTGGGTGTTTGGATTTTCTTTTTTTGTTTTGAGCTCGTCCTTCTTTCCAGTCTGTTCAACATCTGGGCCTGAAGTCATGTATTAGTTGCGTTTCCAACAGGCGGCCGTACGTCATGACAACACGCTGACCCTTCCTTCGGCATCTCGGCAAGCGGGAATCTGCGTAAATGGGGAATCTGGAGCATCGCTGTGTGTGCAAAGGGTGAGGAACCCTTCGTGTCGGTGTGCCAGAGGGTTCCAACGCGGGGATGAGTGCAGCGTACGGTGCTCCAAGCCTTGAAATCTTTCTCCTTTTATTTATAACATCAAATCATAATTATAAAATTATATAACAAAGATGAAGCGATTCAGTTCACTCTCTTTAGCTCCTCTGCCTGCCATAATTGGCAGATGCTTTGCCCTGATAAATCAGAACCGTGGTTCTAGCTCTTGGTACGTTACGGGAAAAAAAAAAAAAATTTAAAAAAAATCTGTATTTAATCAACTTTTTGTTTCCAAAATGGCAGCTGCTTTGTATTTAATGGAAAATCAGCTCTTCCCAATGGAAAGAATGTTATTCCCAAAGCGAATACAAAAGAAAATAAAAGCCACAAAAGAGGAGGATGAAATATGGCATTTATTTTTTTTCTTTTTCTCGTTCGTTCCAGTCGTGGAGCTGCGCGCTCCGATCACGGTCAGGCCACGGCTCTGGTTTACGTCAAGTAACTCGGAAAGTCTCAACCCGTGGACACAGGGACCAGAAATGAGCCTCTCTCCGCGTTAGAAGGCACAAATAGGACCAAGAAAAATTAGGGCTACTTCGTGCATCTTCTGTGCATATAGAGACCCGTTCAATGCGGGTTATTTATGGGTTTAATTCCTTTGCAGGCTGAGATGCCTCCGATGGTGGGGCACCACGTTTTTCCCTTGACACGTCTTGTTGCAGAGTCTTGTTGTCTTTTTCAGAGGCGAAC